AAGTTTATTAACATCGTTGAATAAATTTAACACTGCATCTGTCCGTGTGTTTGGGTGTGTGTATGTGTGTGTCTATCTCTCCTTCTTTCTCTCTCTTTCTTTCTCAATCTGTCTGTCTGTCTGTCTGTTTGTCTCTCCCTCTGTCTGTGTGTATTTCTGTCTGTCTGTGGGTAACTTAAGATTATTCTATGTTGAGGATTTCCTTTTATAAAACACGGTTTGTTACTTCAGGGCATATCTACTCATCTATTCATATTTACTCTTCTATCTTGTTAAACTTCATCTATTTTCAGTTTGATATGTAATAAATCAAAGAATTTGTAATGAAAATATTTACTATTAACGACAGATGTGTGTTTGTTTTCCCCAACCCACGCCGTAACATTGTAACATTCCAAATAGTCAACACAATAAATGATATACAATCTATATTTAATATTTAGTTATGATATTTGGCAAATTGGCATAGTAATGATAATCGAATTTTTGCGATTGACAGCTGTTTAATGTCACATATGTGTGTTTGTCAAGTACAACCAGCGAAATACCATCATATTATAACACTTAAAAAGTGAACTAGAAAGTGTCATCAACCGAAATATTATTTTCATCAATACAATCATCTATCTGTAACATTTCAGTTGATATGCTGAACATTGACTTAAATATGATATCCGTCCTTTAACTGTTCGTGTTAGCCGACGATGAGGCATTACACTGCTACATTACAAATAACCAAGCTAAACACACCTAAAAGTGTGAACCAAACCAATACTCTATATTCACGTGTGCTTTTGTGACGTCATCATCAATTTCATTGTAGTCAATACTTAATTTGCTGTTCAAAGAACTGTTCGAAATAAAGAAATTAAGCTTGACTACTCTATCAAAATGTAAATACAAATAATAAATAGTTTAGCAAATATTTTTACGGTCCTTTATTTTCATTCTTGATGTTTGTTCTATAGATGAATCTACCAACTGAAAGCAACTGCCAGTAGACTATAAATACACTATGAATACAACGATTTTCGTGCAGCCGGTCATTTCACACGCAATAACAAATCATACTACTACGCATAGTACCGTTTCTGAGAAGAATTATATCCCCTTCTCCGAGATATCGTAGTTGCGAGAAATCATTATAAACATTGCAAAAATCATGCATGGTGCATCATTGTACTATTATTATGATTTTCTTAATTTGAATAACATTGTCATATCAAATACTGACTCCGACTCGCAATCGGTTCCTCGTAGTCACGAACTTTCCAACACCAATCGTCCTGCTGGATAATCCCCGTGAAACCAATTGCACATTAAACCCAGAGGACTTTGTTAAGACACAGGGCACATTATCCATTAATTCATCATCATTTACATCTGCAGATTTGTTTTCGGCAAACAGCATATTCAACGGCTGTATATTTAACATCAAATGAGCTCTATGCTTAATGCCGACGAGTGACCTGGATAGTTACTATGGTGACCGATTATTTGAAATAGTGCGGACATAAACTTTTTAAAATATGTAATATGTAGTGATTAATGCAAAAAATAAACATAAAATAAAATCAACTTTTAAAGTGTTGGTTATTAGATTGCAGATATATACTTTTCGTTTCAACAAAATCAGCTGATCGGCGGAGGTTAACATTTGAAGTGTGTGTGTGTGTGTGTGTGTAGGCTGGAGTTATGGTTTTCTGCCCGATACTTTTATCAAAATTGATAAATTCACTAAAAGTACTAGTGTTGCAACTTTTTTATTGTAGTTCATCGTACGTAAATATAGTATTTAAATGGGGGGTTGGGNCTACATATCTTCTGAGGAGCGCTAATGCGCCCCACAGGACATAGTAGTAACTGGGTACAAGTGTTAAATTTAAAGTTTTTAACCCGATTATCTGTTTCTTGCATGATGGATAAAACAAGTTTTTTTTTTTTCCGGTGAAAATTGAAATACATATAAATTAATACAAAAAAAATCAGTTATTCATGATTCATTCCACTCTGGCATTTTACTTTAAAAAATGCAAGTTGGAAATGTACAAGGTGGCTAGCCAAGACAGGTATCTAACTTAATTTTGTGCAACACTTTATGGTTCAGATTACGTGCGTAGCAAAATAAACTGGTATGTAACATCTGTCCCTGATCAATCCTTAAGAAAATATAATAAAAAATGTTGAACAGGGAAAAAGCATGTTTTTATTTTATTTTATGGGCTGATAATATATATTTTTTTCAAGCTGTAGGAGGGGGTTCTCCTTGTAAGCATACACTCAGAAAAATGGTTTGCTAACGTACCCTGCCACTGACGTCGAAGTACCCAAATCGGGACAGTACTTAATTGGGGACACTTGAACAAAAGTCACAAGAAATCTGCATGCTGTGCAAAGAAGTATTTTTAAATTGAAAATATTGAATTACATATGCTAATATAGTCTACTAATAAAACATTATATGAACTTTATTTGCTGCCACAGTTTTAGTTTGTAAATAATGACGAAAATATAACGTTCTTAATTGATGCTCTATGCGACGTTAGGCCTGTTGATTTTCAATTTGTGTACATTTGTATGTGGATTTTTCACAATCCTATTATTTCACAATTAATTGTAGTTTGGAAAATGAATTCATTCAGAACGATCCTTGACTCTAAAACATTCCAATGATATGCCATGTTCTGTTAAATACTTTTTCATCTCCAAATATAAAACTGGGAGGGGTATCCCGATTTGGGTACATCTACACCTGTTTCGCGACTACGTAACCATGACTATATTACCGGTTCTATTTATAGAACCACGCCCCGGAAAGATTATGATCTCTATTTAAGGTAAGTGATACAAGATACAAGATACAAGATTCACAATATTGTCTACGGGTGTGAGTATATGAGTTGGGTTTATAGCTACGATTTGGTGTATGGTTTTGTGAAAAAGGATAATTCTTGTGTGACAGCGCCGTGTTTGTAGTGTTGGCCATTGTAGTTTGTGGATCATATCTGTTACGGAGCTAGTGTTGTGGTATCTGTTGTGTACGTAGCGTGCTGCTCTTCGGGTTGTTTTTTTTTTATTTGTTTTATATGTGGTGAGTTTTAAAAACCCAGGGACCTATTAGCATTGACTATGATGTTGTTAATAAGGGCGCAGCTCTTTAATGGTAACACATGCGTGCGTAAACAGAGTTGCTTCCCCTTTCTACACCTTGCCTTTATTTATTTTTCGTCCGGAAGTAGACGTCAAGTGGGGAAACCGGAAGTGTATCCTTGAACCAAAGACAATTGTGTTTAATCTTGATAAAGTGAAAACAATACCCATGTTTTATTACTTGTTTATTTAGATAGAAACTAATACACATTCTGTGTATATCACATATCACATAAATTTTGATACTAGCAGGCTTGAAACCTTGTTCACAGATTATCATAAGATACGTCACAATCACGCCACACTCCATCGGTTATTTCCGGAAGGATGAAAAATAACCGGAAAATATGTCTTTGTCGGTGCTTCATGACTTTTTAATTTCAGTTTTTGCCACAGGCACTAAAAGTAAAAACGCGGATGTTTTCTGAAAATCCTTTTTGTCATCATCTAGGTTCTGTTAATATTCTACCGGGAGATATTTTCAAAGAAAAACCGCATCAAACCAACAGGTCAACGTGTACATTTATTTTTCATCGTCTAAAATTTCATCAGCTTTTGATTTCCATTTGTTGAGGGTATGAACGAAATAATTAACATTTTTGAAAGTCCGGTTATAGTCCTAACATAAAATATCGTTATCTGCTAATATTGTATTGAATATGGCTACTTCATAATTTGATGCTAAATTGTTTCTAGGATATTTGAAAGAGTGGGCGAAGAATCAAATCTTTGTGCGAGCGGAACGAGTCGAAAAAAAATTGGACCTTTTTTTGGCTAAAAAACATAAAATAATTGTGAAATGCACTAATGTAACGGTTCCTGACTTGGAGCATGTATATTTTATAGTTAAAGTGTCAGGGTTTGACATTTTTTTATGCCGAATTCTCTCCATTAATTGTCTATGGTATATTAAAATGAATGGATGGATCTGAACAGCAGACCAATAACAAGAAATTCCGAATTCTAGGGTATAAGGAGTTACTTAACATTTCAATAGTCCTAGGCCAGGATTTTATGAACGGGAGGCGTAACTACGGTTGCCCTGGTAGAGGGTCCATGGGGAAGCTCAGAAGCTCCTGGATTTCAACAATTTAGCATCAAATTATGAAGTAGCCATATTCAATATTAGCAGATTACGATATTTTTATTTTTATTTTTGAAAAGGGGGTGGGGGGCGTACGCCCATTAATACGCCCTCACCTGGACCCGCCCCTGTCATTAGAGTTTATGTTTTATTCATAATTGTTATCCCTCGACTAGCCGACTTTAAATAAATTTTATCTTGCCTCATTCTGAAAGCAATATTATCTCATTCTAAATCAGTAAATACCAGAGATCAACAAAACCTTCGCTCTTTTAAGGCTTTGCCTTTTCATATTATGTTTGTCCCATCATAGGTTATTTTGTAATGTTAAGCCTGGTAACATTTAAGTATGTGTGGTTGTGGAGTTTGTAGTCATGGTGTATTTTGTTGCGTTTCGGTGCAATGTTGAGTATGTTGCATTTGTCAGGGTGGAATTTAATTAGCCAGTCTGGATCGGTACTATGGTATAAAATACGTGAATATTTCAATAAAAAGTGTCCCGATTTGGGTACTGTGACCGGCGTTAAACAGAGACTATTATACGATTGTTCAGTTCGAGACAGACATTTTGTTTTAGCTTGTTATCCTTATTCAGTTAGTTATATTTTCTGATCTCAAAAATAATCATCGTAACCATGTCGTTTCGAGCGAGACATGTGCTGCTTTTAATTAATTCACAACGTTTGTTGTCGCTATTTGTTGATTAATGGTTATCACAAATTAGACCGCTTGTGGCTATCTGTTGATTGAATTTGTCTGGCGCCGCATTTAGTACCCTAATTTAACCAAGATGGCGTCAAAAAGAGGATCGTGAGCCCGAACAATGCACTGGTTTCAACTAAACTGTATACCGGTAAGTATGAAGGAATGCTCGTGCTCTATCCCGTGTGCTCCTTCAAGTCAGCGGTGTTTTATGATGTGATTTTGTTTATCTACGTAAATATCCCCGCCCGAGTTGCATACTTCAAAGTGTTGGCTCCTGATGGTTGTGTCACCAGTTTTGACGAATACACACAAATCGCACCAACATACAAATTTAACTTTTATCTTAAAAGGTTATGTTACAATTAACTCATCATTGCTCAAGACTTTATGATTCGCCTCACCAGGCAACTTCCTTTCTTTTTCATGTTGTCAAGCCACTATGTTTTTTTTACTATTATGGTAATGTAACAGGAGAAAGAGATATTGAACAGCCAGACCAGGATTCGAAACCCGAGACACTACGAACTCTAGACGGGCGCTCTACCAATTAGCTACCTGATCGGCGACTTTCAACCAAGTCTATTTCGACTACAGTAAAAAATATAGTTGCTCTCTAAGACTGGTTGATGAGTAAACAACAGGAGTTCCTTACCAATGTCTGAAATACACACATCTAATACTGGTATGGGTCACAGCACACATGAACTTATATGCTGATTCTTTTGTCAAAACTGTTCTAACATCTTCTTTAATATATATATATATTTACATTCTGTATGCTTAGACCGATTGACAAAAATTACATTCATAAATGCATAACACAGGTGTTCATAGAATCTCAGCACGTGGGAACTGATAGTAACCTGATCACACTGCGTAGTAATACACTACAAAAACTACTCACTCGGAACGACCGACCTAGATGCTTAATTCTTACATCTTAAAATATTATTGAACTGTGCTTTGTGAAATATCCACGTATTCACGTGTCCTGTGCTACAAATAAACATTGAATATGGAACTACATTTTGTTGTGTTATTGTTGTTGACGGTTGCTAAGATCTCTCACGATAGTGTCACATTTCCCCGCGAAAAAACACTGTTCTCGCCACTGCGTTGCACCCGTGTATAAGCAGGAACAAACCCTGTTTATTTGTTTTATTCGTTGTTATATCGATCCACTGAAAGGATTCGTCAATGTAAATATAAGGAATGATATTTATTTTTTCAACATTTATGAGGTCATAACAACAATGGGTTTTTGGACATATTTTACATGAATCGCTAACGCGATTCATTCAATATGTCCATAAACCCATTGTTGTTATGACCTCATAAATGTTGAAAAAATAAAAATCATTCCTTAAATATGACCCCCTTCAATGGCTTTTGACCCTCAAAATGTAAAAAGCTTGCCATAGGACATATATAGAAGGTCAGAATACATGATTTATGCTTGACTTTACTCGCAACTTGATAGTCTGGCATAAACAGTTTGAAAGAAGTTTTTTGCTGTGTTTCACTTTCATTTAAATTTCACTTTCATTTAAAATGAATGTGATTATGAAGGCGACAGTTGAATGTTCAGATGGTGAGAATTCTGTTTATAACTATTTATAACTTGCACAACAATGCTCTTGTATTATGCAGGGTAAAGTATAGATATTGAATGTTTCTGAAGTAATTTTTCAATTTTCTCCTAATGTTTTGCTTTTCCATTGGGACAGGACTTTTGCAAAACTTTGTAAGAATCCATAAAGAAGATCCATATAGCTTGCAAATGTGTATTAGTCCCCTACTGGTGAAACCAGAGGGGGGGGGGGGGGGGGGGGCTATAGGCTTTGTCTATGTTCATCCGTCCGTCCGTCCATCAATTGTCCATCCGTTTCCTTTGTTAAAGTTTTGTAATGGCTTACCATTCGCTTAATAACAAGGTTAGGATGCTGATTATTTTCATAGAGGTTCTTTAGGCATCTAGTATCAATGTTGTTTAGTGACTGTAGAAAAATATTTTTTGTTTTTTTTTGAATTTTTCAAATGTTTTGACTTTTAAAATTATCTTGCCCAAAATCTGCAGGTTAAAGTTTGGGTTAAACTTTTGTAATGGTTCACCGTTCACTTAATAGTGTTAGGATGCTGGTTGTATGTACAGAGGTTCTTTAGGGTTCTAGCATTAATGTTGTTTAGTCTGTTGGGGGCGCCGGTATGGGGACATACATTGATTCATTAATACCCACTGCTTGTTTTTCATAGGCAAACAAATATTATAATTGCTATATTGCTATTGGCATTTTCATTTTAAGCTACAAATACTTTTAATGAGAGTCATGGTGAGATGCAATTCAGTAACATGTTTATACGAATTGTAGAAAAATTAGGAAAACAAACTAAGAATTTAATCCAGTGCTTGATGCAGTTTACTAGCTGCAGTCAACAACATCATCACTCGCTTATGTCCTCTGCAACCCCTGGAATATGTCATGACAAAATTGAAGGCTCAGTGTGCGCCACCTTGTGGATGACACAAGAACCAGATAGATTAATTTCCTTTACATGAAAATAATCCTGCAGCAGCAAAATGGTAAAATTGACCAGCTTTGAAATCGGGTGTCGCTCTATAATCATCAAAGGACAGGGATCACCTTAGTGGTTATTCAGTTCTCTTTTTATCATGAGACCAATCGAATAGTAGCTGTGTGTCTTCAGTTTTATCATGACATGTTCCTGAGGTGCAGACAGCGTGAATGAGTGTAACCCCTGGAGTATCATGGATGTAAATAAACCATTATAGATTTTCATTAAATAAACACTCTCACTGGTATCATTTATTGGAATTATATAGTTGTATAATGTTTATGTTTTGGGTTGGTCAAGAGGCACAGTCGATAGCACACTAGCCTTTCACCAAAATAGCTGGTGTTCGATTCCATAATCAAACACGAAAGGATATGGGCTCACATGCCCAACTATGTATGTTTTTGGGTGCTTTGGTTTCCTCCTGCATTACCATGTTTGCCAACAAGGGTGATTAGTATAAATTGGAAAAAAGTTGTTCATAATTGTTGTCAAATAATTTAGTTTAAAGTTTATAATCTTTATTGTTTTTTTTTGGTAGGTGACGGGCCATCATCACCGGATGTACTGTGGTTGTGAGATTTAGTGGACTGTGACGCCATCAAAACCCTGTATAACACAGTTCAGCAAATTAAAGAATAATGACTAGAGCTCTAAGGACACAGCTGATATGGTGGACCTGGATCTCAGAAAGTTGTTATAATGACAGATTATTCACAAACTGAAAGAAAAAGAACAGCACACCCGGTGGACGACATGTCAAACCGTGGCGATCAGACACCTGAATCTGGAGAGTCTGACCAAAGCTGTGTCAGTGATGTTGTGGAAGGCGAGAATGATTCTGATCCTGACAGTGTTAGTTCACTAGCAGATGAAGACCAGCTGGAATTAGAATTGGAAAAACATTCAGAATTTGACATTAACTCTCAATCTGCTGGACCGTTCAATTTCAACATTGGCTCAGACAAAAATCAGATTGATGATCAATTCAGTTTGTTAGAAGAATCAACAACATACAATAAAATAGGTAATAACATTGATGTTTTGATGAGTGAAGATGCTGCAATTTACTCAAAGCATTACTCGACGTTCGAAGGTAGACCCAAATCTGACTGTCAATCAGGCAGTGAGAGTCAAAGTGAGACTGGAAGTCTGTCTCACTTCCATGGCCAGTCAGATACCTCGGATTACTTAGAGGACGAATCTGACGAGGGATCAGAGGATGATATATTAGCTAGAGATAAAGATGAGACGGTAAATGACTCCAAGATTGTAAAGGAGCAGAACGGGAAGGCTGATGATGAAAGGGAAGTTGTCGATGGAAAGTTAAAGGAGAGAAAACAGGATCCAAGAGTAGAGGACAAGGAGGACGAGACGGTGCATGTAAATGAGAAAAGTAATGAGACAGAAGATGAAACAACAAACGAGAATACATCAGAATCTGACGACGTCTCTGGAACAGATGAAGAGGCCAAGACTACAGACATGTATATGGTGTTCAGAGGTAACATTTAAAAAGAACGATAAACTGCTACTGTAATAAACACAGATTGGTTATAATCTTTCAATTAAAGTATAAGGGATAATTAATTTTAAAATATCCCAGCCATAGGTGGCACTAGGGCTGCAACGATATATCGTATCCGGATATCTTCTTGTATATCATATCAATTTGTTTTGTTTGCCTTTATCACTATACACTAACAGTACTCAAATTATCAATTAATTTTTATCAAATGCTAAAACATGTACTTATAATTTTTTAAACCTTCAGTAAAGATGTGGTCCACTGTGCAGTCATTCCCAAATGTACTAGAAATTATACAAAAATATATTACGATAGTATTTACTATTGAAGTCTATGACAAACAGCTATAAAATCCTGCACTCAATCACTATGAAGTTGACCTTTTAAGCAAATATTTGTATCTTGATACTTATCTTATTGTGAGGTATGCATATTGTTGCAGCAATAGATGGCACCTCATTTTGCAGGTACCTTCAACTTGCTTCAAGATCAGGAGGATTGCACTTTGTCAGTCCATCCCATAATTCTATATTCTTGTTTGAGCCATAACTTTGACAGAGCTAGTTTTTTTCAATTTTATTGGTGGCACAATCAGAAAGGGAAGGTTTGTCATGCAGAGGTCAAAGTTAAAGCTAGATAGAGGTTAAAGATCACACTTGTTTTCGCCATGGCTTGTAAACGGCTCAATACATTTCTAGCTTACCTGGCACAAAGTGCCAAATATTCCAAAAATATCTTCCCTATAAGCATAGAATATTAATAGGACCACATCGATATTAAAGGATCCCCTAAAATAATGGAAAAGCTCTTGAATTGACATAGATTACTTGTTGACCTGACCTGTACTACTGTTTTAGAAATTAGATAATTCATTATTTGTAGCCATATAAAACATATCTAGTTTAGTCTATTAATAGCTTGTGGTTATATTTTAGATGTACAACAGCAGGACTCTGGAATTGTATCCCCATCATTGCTGATAGGAGGGCCTTCGACCGTAGCTCCGCCGTCACTGAAAGGAGGGCCTTCGACCGTAACTCCGCCGTCACTGATAGGAGGGCCTTCGACCGTAGCTCCGCCGTCACTGATAGGAGAGCCTTCGACCGTAATTCCGCCGTCACTGATAGGAGGGTCTTCGACCGTAACTCCACCATCACTGATAGGGGGAACTGCGGCTGTAACATCTTCATCGCTGATGGAGGGACCTTCAGATGTAACACTGTCATCGCTGATTGGAGGACCTTCGTCAGTAACACCGTCATCACTGATAGGAAGTCCTACGTCGGTAACACCATCGTCACTGATGGGGGGACCTTCGGCTGTAACATTGTCGTCGCTGATGGGAGAACCTCCAGCTGTTTCACCGTTGTCACTAATAGGAAAACCCCAGCCTCTACCAGATATTTACAATAATGGATGTGGTTCGGCTGATGAACATGTATTGGGACAGACACCTATGACAGTGGTTGATAGATACGAGAACAGCCTCAAGCCTGCGGAGGATTCTCAAGCGAGTGTCTTGTCTGCTATGGAGGACCGACAACATGGCTGTAACGAATGTGGCAAGTCTTTCCATACAAAAAAACAGCTGAAGCGTCACCTCCGTACACACACAGGGGAGAGGCCTTACAGCTGTGGCGTGTGTAGTAAAGGGTTCCTGGAGTCGGCGAAGCTGTGGCGACATCTAAAGACGCACACTAATTCTGGGGTCAAACATTTCAGGTGTGGGATTTGTGATAAAGGATTTACAGAGCTGAGGAGCCAGCAGCTGCACGAGAAGCTCCACACGGGGGAGACACCGTACAGCTGTGAGGTCTGTGGTAAAGGATTTATTCGTGCTGGACACCTTCAGCGACACTTCATGATCCACACTGGCGAGAAACCGTTCAAGTGTGAAGTCTGTGGCAAAGGTTTCAATGTGGCGGGAAACCTCCCACGACACATGCGCACACACGCTGCTGAGAAATTGTTCAAATGTGATGTGTGTGAGAAGGCATACAGCGACCAAGAGGATCTACAGCGACATGTAAAGGTGCACGAGGGGAAGAAGGCATATAACTGTGAGACCTGTGGTAAGGGGTTTAACAAGGCTAGGTATCTACAGTGTCATCTGAAAATACATCTTGACATTAAACCATACATATGTGATGTGTGTCAGAAATGTTTCAGCAAGGTGGATCATCTGGAGAGACATCTGACCACACACAACCCCAGTAAGAAGAGGCCTTACAAATGTGATGCATGTGGGAAAAGTTTCGGAAAAATTGACAGTCTTAAATCGCATCAGAGAACCCATGCAGAGGACAAACCATTCAAATGTGATATGTGTGGAAAGGGGTTTATATTCTCAGGAGATCTTCAGATACATACACGGACACACACAGGTGAGAAACCTTATAAATGTGAACTCTGTGGCAAGGATTTCAGTCAAGCTGGGACGCTAAAACGTCACGGACGCATACATACGGGCGAAAAACCGTACAAATGTGACATCTGTGAGAAAACGTTTGCTAAATCTGGAGATGTGGAACGACACATTAGAACTCACACCGGCGAGAAACCCTACACTTGTGACATTTGTGGTAAAAAGTTCAGTCAGGCAGGAACTCTCGGCAGACATCAGTGGATACACACTGGGGAAAAACCATACAAGTGCAATGTCTGCGACAAAGGGTTTATTAAGTCAGCAGACTTGGTCCGTCACATGACCACACACACCGGTCAGAAATCATTTAAGTGTAATGTGTGTGGAAGGGGTTTGAGTGATCAGGTTACGTTTACTGCCCATCTAAAGTTACATACAGGAAAGAAACCGCACAAATGTGAAATATGTGGTAAGGGGTTTAGAGAAGCTTGTACTTTACAGGTACATCTCCGCACCCACACTGGTGAGAAACCCTACAAGTGTGACGTGTGTGGCAAAGGGTTCAATCAGGCAGGTACCGTACAGCGACACATGGTCATACACACAGGGGAAAAACCCCACAAGTGTGAGTTCTGTGAACATGCATTCAGCAAAGTTTGGGACTTGCGACGGCATGAAAGGACTCACACGGGTGAAAAACCATACAAGTGTGAAATTTGTGGTAAGGGATTCAACCAAGCAGGCACATTACAGATCCACTCTCGAATACACACAGGGGAGAAGCCATACGAGTGTAAGATCTGTGAGAAAGGGTTCACTGAGGCTGGCCATCTGAGAACTCATATGCGGATCCACTCCGGTGTGAAGCCATATACCTGTGACATCTGTGGTAAGGGATTCATAGGATCCGGCAGTCTGAAAAAACACAGAAGGATACACACTGGAGAAAGACCCTGTAAGTGTGAGGTGTGTGGGAAAGGTTTCACTCAGACTGGAACTCTGCAGGCTCACGTCCGGACACACACAGGAGAGAAGCCTTATGTCTGTAAGGTGTGTGGGAAGGGGTTTACGGTCAGAGGGACGTTACGGCGACACAGATCTACGCATACCAAGGAACAGCTGGAATCCGCTGAGAAGTCTGACAAGGAAAGTGTTCATCAGGGGGATTTACAGTTGATATTTCTTGAAAAGGATACTTCACTTAAAAGTAAAACAGGGAAAATAACTCTATCACAAGAACCTGAAGACAAAAAAGATTCTCTAGAATCTGAGGAAGAGGAAGACACTTTGTCAAAGGATGCTAAATCAGGGGAGAACACTCCATCAGAAGATTAAGACTTATAGAAAGATTTGCCTAATTCTGAATATGAAATTATCAGTATTAAATCAGAACTTTAAACCATATACGTGTATATTTAATATAAGCATTATGACAAAACGGTACTGTATTATGGCAGCATTCAGACAGTTTTATAAACCAAATTTAGATGTTTACACTGTTACAGTTGTATGTACATGTAGGCCTTATCCAGATAGCTGTGTAGAACAGAGTGTCATTTAACATACATATATATATATATTAGGGTTGTCAACTGTTAGCTTGGTAATTGGTTACTTGGTTGGAAGACCACAAACTGGTTACAGAATTCAATAACGGAATAACTTGACCTTAAATTACTCCATAGGTAGCCCCTACCCTTTACCTGGGTTATAAACCTACCAACTTTTCACTAATGAATAGTTTGACACTAAGTAGGACTAGATAAACAATTCTTCTTCTTCAAGGTACAGTCCATACCACTTAAGTGTATTCTCGGACTTTGAGACCCCACACCCCATGATGTTAATGTTATTTTTTCATTTGACAGTAACTGGCAAATATTTTATACTTGTGTTGTAATGTTGTTATCCATTCTGTAAGTGGACCCTTGGGTCTGTTGAATTGGAAATAAATAAACTACATGCTGCCAGTGCAATCTAAAGCCTGGGCAACATTTTAAAGAGGGCCAGGGGCCAGAAGGCAAAGTCGTAATTTTTGAGATGTAGAACTGACTTTATCTGTGAAACGTGTGATACACAATGTCATATTTTAACAAATATTTGAGTCAGTGAATCCATAATTGAATTGTCAACCAATTTATGTTTCTCCACCAAAATGCTACTGTGTGTGAGTTTGAGTGAGTAACAATATTTTGTATCATGTTCTGCATTATTCTGACTAAAGTTGAAACATATTTAAACTGATAGGAGGCACAGTAGTCCAGTGGTAGGACGCCGGGCTCATGACCCAAGGGTTGAGGGTTCGAGTCATGTCACAGCACTGTTTTGTATCTTTTACTCCGCTTGTTCTAGTTCAGTCAGCTGTAAATGAGTACGTGGCTGGGCAGTGCTAAAATTGTAGAATGCTAGCTGTTAGCTCCAAAATGGCAGCACCGACTGTACGTTCCCTAGGGAGTTCAGAAAGAAATTGGCTGGTTGCAAAGGGTCTATAACAACGGCTTTGAGACTACCTGCAAACTAGGTTGTGATAAAGAGGTATATAGGAACCTCAAATTATGAATTATTATTATTACTTCATTGTTAATTTTAATATTTTAATATATTTTCAAACGCGCCACAAGAAGCTCACAGCTTTCAATCGGTGTCATCACTATATGAACTATATGAACTTGAGTAAGCTAACCTGCTGATCTGTATCAAGTACATATGGAACATAGTATTTGGTCAAATAAGCTATACATGTATTTTTTGTCGGTAATTGTTTAATCATCATGTAGACCGATTAGCAGATTACTCTGTTTGAAGATATTTTGAGTAACCAATTTCTAAATTTTGTCTTGTTTGACAACCCTAATATATAAAGTGTGATAGTGAATAGTGAATATTATTCTGAAAGAGAAATATGTGATGGGGATATATTCATTTGATGTCAGGTAATATGTTGCATCATATGTTGTTGGTATAGTTGTATCATATGATGTCCGGATCAAGGTGGCATCAGTTGATGTAACAGACAAAGGGGCATCGTTTGATATATCAGACAAAGAGGTATAATTTGACATGTCAGTCAAAGGGTTATCATATGATGTATCAGACAAAGAGGCATCATTTGGTGTATCAGACAAAGGGGCAACAGTTGATGTATGAGACAAAGGGGTATTGTTTGATGTATCATACAGAGGGACATCATTTGACATTTCAAACAAATGGGCATCAGTTGATATATAAGACAAAGGGGTATAATTTGACCTATCAGACAAAGGGGCTCCGTTTGACGTATCAGACAAAGGAAACGTTTGACGTATCAGACAAAGGAAACGTTTGACGTATCAGACAAAGGAAACGTTTGACTATCACACAAAGGAAACGTTTGACTATCACACAAAGGAAACGTTTGACTATTACACAAAGGAAACGTTTGATGTTTCAGACAAAGGGGCATCATTTGATGTATCGGACAAACGAACGTCATTTAATGTATCAGACAAAAATGGTTTCATTTGGTGTATCAGACAAAGGGGCATTGTTTGACGTAAGGGGCAAAGCTTTAAGCTTGATGAGTCCCTTACTTCATTAGCTCACCTGGTCCAAAGGACCAAGGTGAGCTTATGCCATACCGTGGCGTCCGTCATCCGTCATCCGTCGTCCGTCGTCCGTCCGTCAACAATTTCTTTAAACGACTTCTTCTTAACCACTGATTGGAATTTAACTTTATTTAACTGGAAGCATCCCTAGGTGGTGGGGATACAAAATTGTACAAATGGTGGGGCTGACCCCCCAGGGGGCTGAGGGGCGGGGCATAAAGGGGGCAATTTGGCTAAACTGCTTTAAGCGACTTCTTCTCTGGAACTAAGTGATGGATATCAACCATATTAGACTGGAAGCATCCCTAGGTTGTGGAGATTCAAAATTGTACAAATGGTTGGGCTGACAAAGAAACAAATGCAGTCATGATATTAGAATTGACCCCAGGGTTTGCCCCACCCTTGCAGACTTAACCCCTGGATCATAACTTTGAAACGGTTGAGATCCCCACCCCAAAACTATATATACAAATGCTGGGCAAAAAGAGACAAATGCAGTCATGATATTAGAATTGATCCTGGGGTCTGGCCACAACCATTGGGACCTAGTTTCTGAGTCACAGATTGGAAACACACACACAGTTACATCATGATGAAAGAGGAACTGGACTGGGTCGATCGCCAGCGACCAGTTAGCTCCATCGGTAAGAGCTTGGGTATATACAATAAACGTTTCTTTATCTGAAAGACCTCAGTTACATAAAAACAACTTATTTACATCAAACAACCAGAACTTGTACATATGTTACCACAAAATTTATATATAGTTTGTAAATTAAATAAACAGTGATTTCACTGGAGGATAGATTTCTGAAGAGTTAATCTTTTAGTCGACGAACAGTCCAGGGTAGTAGCATATTCTGTAAGACATGTCAATTTTCAAATATAATTTTAGTTAAATGTAACAAAAAAAAGTTCTGTCATACTGTATATGCTCTACTGTATGCTGGGAAGCTTTATCCTCAGTTTAATTTTCGGCGGGCGAATTTATTTTTACAGTAATCATTAGTAAACAACATAATGCATAGTAATTAAATGCAAAGGGCAAATTCTGCCCAAGGGTGAAAGTTTGACTGGGCGAAAAATTCCCGGTATACAGTAAGTCAATAGTAAAACTTGTTCGGGAAAAAGTTGTTTGGGTCGATCCCAGCACCTTGAGGTAAGAGTAATGACTGTTGAATATTATAAGGCATGATTTAAGTGTATGTTATATGATTATATCTGTCATTCAAAAATGGTTATCTTGGTGCACGTGAATTACTGCAAGACTTAAAATATTGCTTTATAATTTTGTACTAGAATTATCATTATGAATTCCTATTGCATGAAACACGTTAAAGGGAATTTTAGAATTAGTTTGACTCGTTATTGGAAAAAGGGTTTGTCTTGTAAAAGAAATCTGAATACGAGAACAAAGGTGTATGACATTATTGATAAAATTGTAGACTTATAGTCCCTTCTTATTAAATATTTATATTAACACGTCACTATATCTGCTGACGAATAGCAATTTGAAGTTAAGTCACTTAGATGCCTTCCTCCATACTCTATGGCTACGCTCACTTTCGCTCGCTACACCACTGGACATATGTCATAACAAAATTGAAGTGTGCACCCCTTTGTGGATGAGACGAGAAGACTGGTTTTGATACGAAGAATCTGTCGTTCGCATAACGGTAAAATAGACTGGTTTTTCAGTCAAGTGTCGCTCCTCTGAAATCTTCAAAAGACACGTATCAGCTTAGCGATTAATCAGGGTTTTGTTTTGTTTTACCCGAGACCAACCAAACAGCTCTCCTTGTGCCTTCAATTTTTCTATGACATATTCCAGGGGTGTAGAGGGCGAAGGTGAGTGTAACCGCTAGGGTATGGAGGAAGCTTAGATGTGGGATGTCTTTTGTATGCTATAGATTCCTTATACTCTCCGAGGGCCTACAGATCTCATTTTACTAGCTACTTGTGTACTACTTGGGATATTTTGTACCTTGCTAAGACATAGTTTAGGTAAACAGAATCGGTAAAAAATATAAAGCGGTGTTTGATATAATGACATTTTGTTTGTCCACTTATAAATATAAATATCTTTGTATTGCTCTTGATTATAGGTACTAGTATACACAAAATTTTCTTAAATAAATGTCTCGCAGAACTGTTTGTTATTAAGAAATAGTAAAAAGTAATTGCGGTCTCGATATAGAACTTTCCAGACTAGGCTTAGCGCAGGGTATTTACAAGTGTAATTATAAACTTTATTTATTTTACATTAATTATAATCCAAGTTATTTCAGCTTATATTAATCACTCTTGTTGGCTCGGATGTTTGCGCGCGGGGGTCTTAAAGGCAAGTGCGCTATCCACTGCGCCACCCGACCACCCTGGGTGTTTAAATTATGAATAATAAACAATACTATCATCCAACTCTGGCACCGGGTAAAGGGACTTTTATGAAAACAATAATGAATGCAAAAACGAAAGATTTTAAGTGTTAAGAGTAAAATTTAGTTATCTGATCTGATGTAGACAAATTATTGGTATTTGGGAAAAACAGTCAAGCTTGCTTTCAAGAGAGGCAACTGTGTAGTAGTCAATTGACGCGAATTTTGACGTCTAGAATATCTCAAAATTATTTATAAATAAATACATGAATTGACATGATTATCAGTATTATAGATGCCACTAATACACATAGAGATACAATGTAGTAATGCTATTATAAATTGACTCTCGATATCAATACTAATTTAAATTAAAAACGAAGAGTCCTTTTCCTAGTCACAAATAGTTATCTTCTTTAAAGTGCAATCCCTCAATTATATTATTGTTAAGTTAATGATGATTCCAATTATAAACTACAATCACATCGAGTAATATTAGCCATAATTGGTTAATTTCAGTTCACTTTGTTTGGCTTTCTACATTCAACATATGCAGTGTTTGGATATAAGCTTTTTTATTTCGTATTCTAATTAATTGTTTTACGTAAACAGGTGGCTACCGTAGCTGGTGGACTGTCAGTCCCGGAGGTTGGCCTTGACCTTGTACCTTGAAGTAGTTCGGTCACGATGTACCCAAAATTATTCTTGTTTCAGAATAAGTTATCTGTTGTAACAAAAATGTGTAAATCGTTATCCTTATTAAGAGTTTTATAAACATCATTCTCTTTAAGCTGTGTACTTTTATATGGTAGTAACTAGGAATCGTTTCTACACGCTACTTTATTATCATTAAACAACCAAAACGTAGTTTTAGATGGGTACTGACAACATACACTTTGATTGTTTACGCCAGAAATAAAAGTATTAGTAGACGTTTCAAAAGTTCTTTTGAATGTATTCAAGTTTTATTGATATTAATGATATAATTTTGATTGTATTTTGTTTTGTTAATGTTGCGAGAAAAATTACTATGGAGTAGAATGAAAGACATAAATAAAACTAGCAATATCAAAAATAATACGTGTGTTGTAGTTTATAATGGACGAGCCTGTTTGATGTCATAGTTGCCACCTATTCGATACTATTGAGGGTTTTTAAGTGAGAATCAGTCTTTTTGACATTTTATAATCCTGCTGTCATACTTCAGGAATTATAATTTTGATTATCCAGATGTGGACCCTCGAAATCAAAAAAATATTGTTACTCTGTTTTCTAGAAAAGTTTTCTTAAAGTCAAAATACACATAAATGTGTACAGTTTATATCGCTTTAGATATGTTTTTAAATAAAAAAAAATTATCAAACATCTAAAACGTTTTCTAGAACCAAAAGAAATTCGATTTGCAATTATTTGTGATTTTGCTAAGGTGTACGTTGTAGCCAGTAAGGTCTGTTGTAATGAGATAACACCTATATACAAATATCGTGATGATGTTTCCACCGGATTTCGTAACTGTGAATGACCCGTGACTCCCTTATGAGCAATGTCGTTATGTGGACGTTTATCTAACAATAAACAGCATAAGAAAAGCAACGCCATCATCTGAAAACCAGTCTTTCAGCTAGGTACTGATTAATCCAAAAAGATAACCCATGCCATGGTTACCTCACTCTAGACTATACTACTGAAAAAGATCAAGCATATCGCTTATTGCCGACAAAAATTAAGTGGACAACCATCACAAGCTTCTTCACCTACTATCGTCTTCACGACCTTTACAATAATAGTTTCTCATTTTCAACACTGTTTCAAAGTCTGTTTACATTGTAGTCGTGTCATAGATCGCTTGGCCCCATACGTACCACATACCTTCATTTAATGGGTAACACGATGTACAGGGATCTGAACTCTTGTGATTTACATGTTGTGTTTCATCTTGCTTTTTTTTTTTTATCGAGTCCTTCTGATAAAGCATGTACGCTTAGATGTGACATTAATTTACAATGTTACAATGTATAATTCTTAGCGCGGAACAACCAGGCGATTTAACACATCTTAAATCCTCAATGTTATTCATCAAATAGTAGAATAGAACAAACAAACAATATAATCTGATTACAAATACATTCAATGGCATAACATGGGATGAGATATGGGAACAGAGAACAAATAAAATAAATATTGAAAGAAAGAAAATGAATAAAAATAAAAAGAAATGAATAGGCAATAAATAAATAAAAAAAACAGCGAAAGTACTCAGGTGCTGGATGGCTATCCTCGTGAGCTTTAATTGGCTAAATAAACAAAAGAAAGAAAGAAAGAAATAAACAATAAACAATACAGCGAAAGTGCTCCGGAAATGGATGCCTTTAGGCTTTGCTTTGGATGGACTTTGCTGACAACGTTGGACACTTGGCGTAAACATTTGTAATGCTAATAATTTCTTATTACAAAATATGTTTTTTTATATTTATTACTTTTAATGGGGAATGGTATTTGAGATTTATTGTTCTGATGAGGGGTGCTTACTTTAAATCAATGTTATTTCATATACATTAATACAATTCGATCGAAGCTAAATTTGACTACTCATTCATAATGAGGTTTTGAATGGTAACAATAGAAATGCCATCCGTAAACAATAAATATAATTTTATGAATTGGATGAAACAGGGACAGCCAAGTAGATTATGTGTTAGCGAAAGGCATATTAGCGAGCTAAAGAACCCAAATCTATCACGTGTTAAAATTGGCTAAAATATACCATATTCCGACTGATACAGTATGTGCTACATGCATACTACTTTCACACTATACACATTTTACATTAATACCAATAGCACGAAAGAAAATACGTTGATACTAATGATGATTATATCTTTATTCGAATTATGAATATCCATATCATATCTTGTCTAACTGTTGGACTTACTTACTAATCCCACATATCAAATACTATATTTACGTTTGTGAATGAAAGCCGTTTTTGTTAATTTATTTATTTTTCTAAGTTAATAATGGAACATAAAACGACATCTGTTATTCTGTTTGTGTCACAAAACTAACAAGTGTACAGATCGTATATATATATGCCCTAACAGTCGACATCTGACCTCGCTCCTGATTGGTTGTTCCCTGGCTGCATATTAGATATCCTATTTTTAGCATATACACATCAGCCAAGTGACAACACTTTTCAATTAAAATCTAAAAAGAAACCTCACAACTGTTTAATATACGAATCAATCAATGAACATGACATAACAGACCAACGATACAGTCAACGATCAGTAATACAAATATTATCAAACTTAACTTTTGATACGAAACTTGCGCTTTCAGTGTTACGTAATCTTCACTAAGTAAAAGACACATCCGGCCAGAAGATGGAGATCGTTTTGTTTCTTAGCTAATCAGTCAGTATAATTATTATACATAGATATAGTAGGTGTGTTTGACCTCCGCTCAAAGATAACAATCGATTTTACGAGTTGAGGCTACGGTGGTCGTTAGATTCACGTGTATTTGACTGCTTCGGGAGGTTAAAACTTCAACATGTTCTGTGTGTTGACCAGGAAATGAACGGAGAAACATATGTTTGGGGTTTTTCACCAACATGGCTTTATGAGACTGTCTGTGAAGCATTACTTTTGTTATATAATGCTATGACTCCTGTAGTGCTGGTAAGTAATATATTAACAAAATCATACATATAATAGACTTGCTCAAGTCCGCTGGTTATAATTAAATTGTTTATCAATGTGTTATAATAATAATAATAATAATAATAATAATAGACTTTATTTAAATTCGATAACACATTGAGTCAATGACTCGTCTCAGATGTGGTCGACATAAAATGTACAATATTTACAACATGGATATGACATACACATACATACATAAGAAATTAAGTAACATATCACAGGTAATAAAACATTGTATTATCTTTAAAACAAAAAACAAAAAAACAACAACACACTCCTGCATCGTGTATCCAATAACAAAACTACGTAATACATATCACAGATATATTGGTATGTAATATCACACAGGCTTACAATAAAATATGTCACACGTGTATTGGAAAATAAAAAAGTTGGCTAAATACCATGCAATGCATAAATTCTCATGCTGCATTTTAGAAGATTTAAGACACGCATAATGCGTCTAATATACATACATGTCATGGTGACAAAGGGTAAAAAATTACAGAATATACGCTAATGTAGCGTGAGTTAATACCAAAGTGTTGATTAGGGCATTAGGAATAGTAATTAAGATAAATTCTAAAACTTCATTTAGATACACATGTGTCATATTCCAGGTACTACAGCAGATAGATATTTCAGGAGGGAAAGGGGGTGCAGATTTTTAATTTTCTTTACACTTGTCTTTATAGATTACATTGAGATGTATTTTGCACTCGAACTTAAAACTGTTTAGTGATTGACATTTAGAGACAGTGGTTGAGAACAGTTTCTGTGCGGCATTGTGGTTTATCAATGTGGTAGCAGAATTTGAATGTAAACATTTTTTTTTTACCACGATGATACATCCGTTATATTATAGCAGTAATCTATGACTGTTCAGAGTTTGTATACACCTCATAATATGTTCCCCAGTATTTGAAAATCAAAACAATTTTACTTTTGATGCATATTTTATTTCTCAAAGTTTACATTATACACTGTTGGAAATTTCCTAGCAATTGTTTTATATTTAAACAATACAACTATATATATCATATACAATCAGAGACGTATTATACGTCTCTGATACAATATATGATCCATTACGCTGTTTATGTCTTCTGGGAGCATTTAATTCGTTTTTAAATATAAGACAGAAGTAAATAGAGTGAGGGCATCAAGTAAATATAGTGAGGGCATTTAGAGTAGGCAAACACAACTGTACTAGATAGATACGTATGATGAGGATGGTGTATTTAGAGGCAGTTTCTTTCTTCACATGCACCCCACGCTGATATATTTCTTTCTGTCATATATTTTCATTAAAAACGGATCACTGTGTGTCACATTTGGCCAATGCTTTCTTTGTTCCCTTATCTGAGGGGGGGGGGGGGGGGGGGAACACTTGTATTCAACAGCACCAATAGTAGCTATTTAGCTTGGTAGGTATTCTTCTGATTATCTGAGGCTTACTATTTCAAAGTGAACAGTATCGAATGACGTCGATAAAACATTAGACGCGTACCCTTCCAGAACACCAGGGCCCGGGATCATGAAACGGACTTAAGTCTAATTCTGGACTTCACTCCAAAGCTTTTTGACTTAAGTTTAAAAACAGACTTAGCTTGGGGATCATGAAAAAAACCTTAAGTCTTAAGTCTAAATTTATGTCTTACTGATCTTATTTGTGTTGCACTTTTTTCAAGGGTATCACTATCTATAGTTTGGTATGGAGCATTCGTAGACGATGGAGATAAATTACTGATTAAATGAAGAGTTTGGTTACCTTCGGTACAGAGGGATGAGCCAAAACAGGGGAAAAGGGAGCACAATTTCTTTTTTTACTTCTCCAGTTCAATCTGCAATTATTATTCCAATTTTGTACCCATTTGTTATATAAGCATGACAAGTTATTATTTTGGGGTTTCCTAGCCTACATGTCTCAGTTGATTGAGTATTCAAGGACGTGATCCAAACATCATGATCCCCGTGATAATTGTCTACTTCTCACCAACAAAGTTATGAAACAAGGTTTCCAAAGATGCAGAACGATGAAAAATATAAACATATTGTATGGTCGTCCTTCTGACCTTATTTGGAGATATACTATTTCTTTGTGATGTAACGGTCAATGTTTAGTATTGTGCTTAAAAGTGTGCCTTGTTGTTTCGTTAATTTGCCATTGACTCAATCCTTGCAATGAGGACGTGACATTTCTTGGATTCCACCTAGATTGACATGGCGATTGTCGACGCATAAGACGATTTCTCTCCCCGAATACCTGGTCTAATTCTTGTTGTACGTTTACAAGGGTCTCCATACAATACTCCGTGCTCACTTGTTGATTGTTTTTACGTGTTTTACTTCTCGGACTGATTTAAAGAAATATGTTTTCGTAGCATCCTTTCTACTATCTATTACTCTCGCACATCACATCTCCAGCACACACGCAGGCATACACACATATGGAGATATTAGCCAGGTGGCATAGGACTAGTAGTTGGCGCCTGATAAGGCAGCTCCTGCGAATTCCTCAAAATTGTACTGATTAATGTCTATGCTAATTGGATTAATTGTAAATCTATGTACTGTAAAGCGCTTTAGAGTAGCTTATGTTAGCTAGATAGGGCGCTGAATCAAACGCTGTATATCATTATTATTAATCACTTTAAAATGCCTTTTATTTGGCAGTGATATTTGCTTTACTTTCTCAACTTCTACAAGGCCAATGTCAAGTAAACATAATAGGGTTACAGTGTATCATTCTTGTAGTCCATTGAGTTTATAAACACAATTTGCGACGGCCACCATAAGCTCAATTTAATGGGGAATGTCAAATTTCTTATCGAGTTCTGTTCATATATCAAAGGAAAATGTGAACTACAGAGGTTCTGGTACAGAGAAATACAAAAATAGTGTCGTTTGCTTAACCGTTTCTAAGTAGGAACCGAATAACTGATCTCAGTTTACTACAACGGTCAGAACCACGTTGACATTTTCTCCAATGACGTTCAATTTTATTTGCCATGTTTTAATCGAGAGTTACTTCAAAAAACGTCATTATCCTTAAACGAATATTTCATGTAAACCGTATCACAAAACAGGGAAAAGAGCTACAACCACAATCTCCATGACTGATAGATCACCAGCTGAGCCAAATACACATGCAATATTATTCTAATGTTAATATCTCTCCGTGGTTGAGTTTTTAGTTTTACTTCACGAAATTTGTCTGCGGTTGATGTATTATGGTATCTGTCTGCGGTTGATGTTATTCACAGGGACCTGCTGGTTTGTTACAGCTATATGTGTACCTATGCTAAGGTATTCAGAGTAATTATACATGTTTTAGGGATATATATTGACTTTCGGAAGAAGAAAAAAACACCAACACTACATGTCTCGGCTGACGTCAACCTCATTAATATACAAAAAAAGTGGCACGATCACTGCGAAAAACGTTGCAACTCTGAAATGGTGTGTGTCTCTACAGTGGAACTAAGTATTTTCCCGTAGATCAATTAGACATGTTGTTTTTGATGCAAGACAGTTAGGTGGGGTCGACATTTCGACATCGAGAGCTTTCCGCCCTTCTCGTATATATGATCATTAGGGGTGTCATTTCCCCCCAACGTTGATCTAAACCCCTACTTTTCTCTCGTGATGAAATCTTCCTGCTGTTGGCGTTTTAGTTTTACTTTGTTGATTCTACCTGGCCCGTGTTACACTTCCATGTTATACGATTTTCAAGTATTTCGTGTTTATCGAGTGCTTTGATCAGGTTCGCTTCTGCAGACATTGATAAACATTAATTCATTATATTTTAACTTGCAGACATTATTCGTCTTCAAAGAAGATGGCCACTGCAGATCCAATGACGCAAGTGAACGAAATTCTAAAGTGTGTAATATGTTGGGAAAGCTTCACAGATCCCAGACAGCTACACTGCGGACATGTGTTCTGTTTCGAATGTATCAACACACACTTCAAGACATATGGTAAAAACTGTGCGCCGTGTCCAGTTTGTAGACAACTGTATTGGCCTAAAGACCGCGACGCAAACAATCTACCAAAGTCGACGTTACCCCTTCGACAACTGTTGGCTATACAGCATACCACAAATCGATCCTGTGAAACGTCTGGCTGTAATCAAAACAAGACACCATATCTGTGTTTGACATGTCGACAGTGGCTGTGTGATGCCTGTAAGTCGCAAACGTGTATTGTCGACAATGACGGCAATATTGCGCACAACGCTTTTTTAAGATCGGACATCGACCCCGGATTATTTGATATCGTGAAGAGAAGTCGTCATAAACAATGCTATATGCATCACTCCCATGAAGTAGAATGGTACTGTCTACAATGTAGGATGTTGTTATGTAAACTGTGTCAAACAAACAGCCACCTACACCATACGCTGATAGACATAGTAACACAGTCACGTGATACCCGTGAAAACTTGGAACAGACGGCGGCATTACTACAGAAAAAACAGCAGCAACATAGACATGATCTTGAAATGTACGAGGAACTCCAAATCGTTGTCAAGGTGGAACTATTTAATGCCAGTGATTGTCAGAAAGTAATGGCAATGTGTTCACGTGACATCGATAACTGTGACAAAATCATTCAGCTGATCACCCAACTGTTGAAGTTTGGCTCGGATGTGGTCATCATTGACACGTATCGCAACCTGGAAGAAAGGATAGAGACGGAACTGGGACAATGTCATTCACTTGGACCGCTGTTGACTGAACTGAACAGCAGGACGGCTGACAATAACCACACGACGGCGACTTGGGTTGATGCTTGTCGCGGTGATAAACGGAAACATCTTATTTCTGACTCTGGTGTGGACGATCTCTCTGTGAGTGAAGGAAGCCTAGAGGAAGGAGTTCCTCCTGAAGATAACTCTTGTGAGATATTCAATTGTGTCAGCAGCACACAAACTAAACTTCTGTGTTTATCGTGTATGAAATGGATTTGTGAAGTATGCTCAAGAAGATGTTGTCTTAAAAATGATTCCGATTCCAAACACGATGTGCTCCCTGTGGCTGATGTTGACAGACACCTATATGACGTCATAATGAGAAATAGAAACTATTCTTGCAAATCACATCCGACCAACGATGTCAGACTTTTTTGCACAAAGTGCAATATTCCATTGTGCACAACATGCCGCGTCAACGGTCATCTGGACCATCCGACGATAAAAATCTCTGACAGATCTCAGGTCTGTTGTAGAAAATTAAAAGTGTACGAAGGAAAACTACAAAAACAAGTCCAAGATTATAAAACAACCAGACACAAATTTCTTGAAATGCAAAATTCACCATGCGCAGAAGCACTTAATCCATCGTATTGTGAAAATATCTCCAGCAGGTGTGAATCGGGGATAGACGCATGTGAGGATTTTGTCAAACGCATCACATTTCTACTTCATTATGGTAGCCCCTCTGTCATCGTAGATGGATTTTTGGAACTAAAATATCACATAGAAAAAGAACTGAGGGTATGTCCGTCTGATTTCGCTACACCTCTTCGCCAGCTGGTGTGTTTTATCAGTGCTACATTGGATCAGGCGAACAGCTGTGTTGATGATGTAGCGACATCTGATGATGAAGCAGATATTGAAAGCACAAGCGAAGAAGTTGTACAGGGAATAACTGGCAATGGTCCGGAGAGTAACACAACGAATACCCCAGTGGTCAATGGTCCTGAGAGTAACACAACGAATACCCCAGTGGTCAATGGTCCGGAGAGTAACACAACGGATACCCCAATGGTCAATGGACTGGAGAGTAACACAACGGATACCCCAGTAGTAAATGGTCCGGGGAGTAACACATCGGATACTCCAGTAGTCAATGGTTCCGTGAGTAGCGCCTCAAATAACCCAGTGGTCAATCGTCGGCAGAATAACGCCTCAGTTCGGCGACGTGTTACATCATCTGTGTGTAATGCTGCTAGTGAAATGCCAAATAATCCAAATTCCACTGAGGAGAGTAACGCTTGGGCACACGTCAGCTATGTCATGTGGATATGGGAACAAATAAAAGTGATGTGTCGGTATTTGTCACGATTTCTCTCGGATTCATAGACAAGGATATCACGAGAAGAACCAGTGAAACAAAAAACTTTCATTCCAAAAGAAATTTCGACAACTATCTGTCTACAATTTAGTCGCGCAAGCAGCTAAGTAAAGAAGACAAAGACCACCGTTTTCTGTTCTAAGTTTGACACCTGGAACTGATGAAACACCTGTATGAGATCTAATCTTGTATGTTCTTAGTTTGACACCTGGAACTTATGAAATACCTGTATGAAATACCTGTATGAGATCTAACGTTTTCTGTTCTAAGTTTGACACCTGAAACTGATTAAACACCTGTATGAGATCTAACGTTTTCTGTTCAAAGTTTGACACCTAGAACTTATGAAATACCTGTATAAGATCTAACGTTGTCTGTTCTTAGTTTGACACCTGGAACTTATGAAATACCTGTATAAGATCTAACGTTTTCTGTTCCAAGTTTGACACCTGGAACTTATGAAATACCTGTATGAGATCTAACGTTGTCTGTTCTTAGTTTGACACCTGGAACTTATGAAATACCTGTATAAGATCTAACGTTTTCTGTTCCAAGTTTGACACCTGGAACTTATGAAATACCTGTATGAGATCTAACGTTGTCTGTTCTTAGTTTGACACCTGGAACTTATGAAATACCTGTATAAGATCTAACGTTT